GCTTATACTTAGTACCTATTTATACTATAAGTAATTACTAAAACTTAGAGATAAATATTATTCCTCTATCTAATATAATCTTATCAGATAGTCTATAGTAACTAACTATATATTATAAAAACTAGTATATAAGATCTTTTACAGAGCTTACTTCCTTATACGGGATAAAGTATCTATACTTTATAAGTCTATTAATAACTACTAGAATACTATTATATTCTACTTTAGTTATAGGTTCTTTTAATAATAGTAGTTTAATAATATAATTAAAGGATACTAATTACTATAGTTATTCTAGTACTAGAACTAGTTTTAATTCTCTATAGGGTTTATATTATACAGACTTAATTCTTATATAAGTATTATATTCTAAAACTACAGTCTATATATCTTTTCTTAGATCTAGATAATTATATTTTTATCTAATCCTATTAAATATTTTCTTAACTCCTTAGTATCCCGAGAGCAGATACTTATAGATTTCCTTAATAAGTACTATCCTAGCTTCTTACTATAGGTTTTCCAAGCTAGGAATAGTCTCTATCTAGACCTTAGTATATACTGTTTCCTTAAGTATAGCTCCTAGGGTTTTCTATACTAAGTATCCTTTATTATTAGTTAAGAATAGCTATCTATTTATCTTTAGAACTGCTTTCTTATATTCGGATTTCCAGCTAAGAGTATCAGCTCTTCTGTTTTCTAATCCTTTTTAATATATAATTTTATAGTCGAATTAGAATAGATATTCAGTATAGTATATTTATCTTCTATTCAGTTATTAGGTTATAATAAAGTACTGAATATTCTTATAATCTATATATACCTTAACCTTATATATTATCCCTAAGTAGTAATATTCAAATTCTTTAAATATATATATAATAGCTATAAACTCTTTATTATAGATAGGGTAATTAAGTTCTATACTATATAGTTTCTTTGAGAAGAATACTACAGGGTATAATATTCTATTATTATCTCTTTAGCTGTTGGAAGGCTTTTCCAAAGCGTATACTATAGATAAGATAGGTTATAAAGATAATTAATTAAGTTACTATCCTAGCTATAGAACTAGGCTAGTTATAAAGCCAGTTTTAGAGCGGTTATAACTAAGCCGACTGCTCTGTAGTTAGTCTTCAGCCGGTAACTGCTAGTTAGGGGTATTCAGTATACTAATACAGGCAGTCTTTTGTTTTCTTGTCCTGTACGGGTAGCCCTTTCTATTATAAGTCCCCTTATAATCTCTGTAAATATAAGAAATAAATATATATAATTCTAATCCCTTATACCTTTATTAAAAAGATACTCTTAAGTATTATACTTATTTAATTATATATATATATACTATAGTATAGGTTTATTATACTAGTATATATACTTTATTATTAGGTTACCCTACTACTATAGTTTAATTAGTTACCCTGATAATAAGTAATTATAGGTATATACTCTACCTATAATAATCCCTGTTTTAAAATACTAAGTATTCCTCTTTTTCCTTCTTCTGTATAGCTACTTTCTATTATATATATATCCCTATAATAATCCTTACTGCTCTGGAATATTATTCTAAGGCTAACTATATACAGGATAGTTATTACTTTCTTTCCTAATTATATTATATATAGAGATCTATATACTTTAAGATATAGTTTTATAGCTAATCTTATTCTAGAGAAAAACAGTTAGTTATATCTACCTCTCCTCTCTATACTCCCTTACCTCTACTAGTAAATAAGACTATTAAAGAAAGTAAGTTCAGCTCTATATCTTGATTAGGTATACTTATCTAATAGGTTTTAAAGTAGTTACTTGCCTATCTGCCTCTACTAAGTGGTATTAGGAGGTGCTTTTAAGTACTCAGAAGGAGTTAGTAAAGGTTAAGAGAAAGAAGAGTTAAGCTAAGAAGATCTACTCCGACCAGGTATAAGTATTATCTACTGCTTTATTTCCTATTTTTATAGCTAACTCTTAGTTTTAGTAAGTATTCTAATATATATATAGTATATAATAAGTTACTTACCTCTGGGAAGAGTAATAGTTATTACTTTAACTATAGTAGTAATAGGACGCAGTATATATATTATAATAAGGGTAGTAATACTTATATTACTACTCCCCTTATTCTCCTGCTGTTTTTATATAATTTAGCCTCTGTATATATAGCTCTTACTGAGCTAGGTAAGATTATTAGGA